GTTTCTCATTCAGCAAACTTTGCTCAGTCTATTACAATACAGAGTAGGGTGGTCAGTGTCACTTGTTAATACTTAAGACTCTCTCACAAAGTACCAGCAGCTCTCAAAAATAACAGTTATAAAAAATTAGCTTCCAACAAGACTGTCTCTCATCTCATTAAGGTGTACCCTTGAAGATGTTAAATGGAGATTGATCTCCCTTTTTAGGTGTGCAGTAAAAACAAGTCAAAAGGTTTTCATATTTCAGTATCAAACTGCAGCTATCATGTTTCATGATCTAGAAAGGGTCTTCAACCTTTTCTGTCTGATGTTAAACTGTAGGAATACCAGATGGAGCTAGGAGGGTCTAAAGGAATTAATAATTCAGAACAATTGATTTTAGCATTTCTTTTGCAGTTGATTATTGTATTATTTACGCTGCCTGATGCTTCTTTTTTTCTTTTTGGTCTTTTGCGGGTGTGCAAGTTGTAGTCTGTAATTTGTTTTGCATTATTCCGCCTCTTGCACTAGAATAGCAGTAAAAATGAAAACAAATGACAGGAAATAAACTTAAGAACACAAAGTCCTAACCCATGATTATGTTACCATTCAATTTTTGATCATACATGGTGTGCCAGTCAATTTCAATAGGTAAAATTTCATAAAGCAAGTAGCTCACTCATACAAACATAAACCCCCACCTTTACCTGTGCATGATAAAGTACATTTTACAGTGCAGGAAGCTACAGAAAATCTTTACTACTTGAAAGAATATATGTTTTGACCTAAAGGGGTCAAAACATAGCTTATTCATATTCTGGAGGCAAAGAAATGTTGACATTTGTATGCAGCAAATAGGTTAGAGGGTTTGCTTCATTCAGTGAAGACAAATCAGAAATAAAAAGGGCAAATATCATATGTAGCATGAAGATATTAAGTCAAACAATAACTATCCCCTTATGTTAAAAATGTTTCTCTGGTATAAACAATAAAAGACCCTATTTAAATCTGTCATATGGTGTCTTAGTTTCTACTATTGGAACTGTAATCAGAATACACAAAAGCAGAGTAATTCCTTTTGACTATCAAAAAATAAATCAATGGCCATTCTGAAGAACCAGAGTTCTAATGAAGATATCATATCCCAAATATAATTTTGTCATAGGCTAATAAAACCTTTGATATTATTCACAATAATCTCTGACTTCATGAAGAACCAGTTTGTATCAACTTTACTCCACAATTAGCCCCTTTGATTTAAGTGAGGTTGCATCTGGTGCAAGCCATTGCTCAACATGAGCAAAGGTTCCACAATTTATTCCTATACAAACAGGATTGGAATGGCATTGATATATCCTATTGCTGTGAGAGAGTTAAACTGTTTCACAGGAATCATTTATGGGCAAGTACTTTAAATTTGACTTAAAAGATTAAACTGACAAGCAGGAACACCACCAAATTAAGGCTGCATACTTGATATACAAGGCATTAGAAAGGCCTGCAGTCAAGGACAATACTTACACTTTTTAGGCTCAACTCCAATATTTGGCATTGAAGCTTTATGACAAATTGACAGCAGGTTGTTTTAACATTCATTTAACATATTTCCTTTTATTTTAAATTTAGTCAAAAAATAAATTCCCTATGGAAGAAGTTGCTAGAAAGGCAGTTTTAGCAAATGAGGACTTAAAATGTGACATATATAACTAAGTTGAAAAGCACTAAACTATTTTCTTCAATAGGCAGACATTCAAATATTTACAAATGTCTCAGTCCAAAAAATAAATTGGTAGCTAATGGGGTTGTTGACATATGACATGTTTACTCCAGAACAATGCGAGCTGAATTTTCCTCAGCAGTAAATGTACTCTGTAGCTAGCAGCAGATACACAACCAATTCTCCCAACCTGGCCACTGAAAGAAGATGCTTCTATACAGGGCCTTGCCACAAGTTACCAGGGGACCCAGTTTGTACTGAGGATATGCCTACTCCAACATGAAAATGGCAGTGGTATCAGGCTCCTCACATACACAGAGTAACTTCTCCAAAATACACTTACGTTGGACTTCCTCAGAGGTAACTTTGTGAAAGAAAAATGCTGTGTGTGTTTGTCTGCTCCATAATTTCACCAGAGTAAACTAAGAATACTCCATAGCAAATGTGGCCATCATATGAAACCTACTAAAATCTCAGAGGCAGCTACTTTAACCTTTATTACTAACAAAATAATTCACTGGTTTATAAAAATGAGTTGCTTCAAAATTCACCAAATCTGACATATTATTAGTGGCATAATCGCTTATTTAGAAAAGCAAAAAGAAAAAGAAAAGGAGATGGATGTTAATTTCATTTTCCTGCCTTCTTGTCTCACATTGGCATAAAGAAAGAAAAACAAAGCACTAAACAACTTAACTTGTTACTTACTTCACAACCCAGCCATTTTAGAGAAACCAGGAACGGTCATTCATTCTTGAAGCAAAGCTCAGTGTCACAAATTCAAAAGTCTCTTATTATACAGTACTTTCCTCATTAGAAACAAGCATTTGGATGTGGGTGTAGAACAAGCAGATACCACAATCAGCATCATTAAGACTTAAGCACACAATATCAACCTAATACAAAAAACAGGTATTTGGCCACATCTGAAAACTGAGGTATTAAAATATAGGAGAGACTGTTACAAGGGTAGATCCAGGTGGGGGCAGTGGCATAGTCACACACCCTCTTCCACAGGGGTACTCAGTTAGTAGCAGTGGCAAGTTCAAGTCTCTGCTTCCTTGCCCCGCACCATGTTCCCCTCATGGCCCTGGAGCCCCCAGCTGCAGGGAGGAATGGTCCCAGGGCTTCCTCCATGCTTGGGTCATTTGGAAACAGCAGCAGCAGGCCTCCAGGCACCCCCGCTCCCTGCCCACCCCCAAGTGTCCCCTGTGTTCCTCAAGCAGGCACTGGCTGGGGAATCCAGTGTCCCCTGTGCCATTGTCCCTGGCCAAGCTGCCACCAAATTCTATCACTTACAGAAGCCCCCAACTGGAGTAGCTCTGAGACACCACCACCACCAGGTCAGCTTGGGACTGTGAGACAGATCAGATGGCAGGTCCCCCTTTGATGCAAGCAGAGGTAACCCAGAGGCAACGCAATGGGAGGGGAGGTGCCTGCACTACAGTGGGGGGGGGGAGGGGAAGTCTCACCCGCTTTGGGGACTCCAAAAAGTCTTCAGCAGCTGCTGCTCTGGCATATCTGAAGAGGGTATGGGGAGGGGGACCTGTAACCTGTCTCCTGTAGCACTGGTGACATGTCCTATACTCCCCTTTTCAAATCTCTGGATCCGCCCATGGGTGGCTGTTAGCACTTCTTGCTCAAACTTGGTTTTAAAACAAGCATTTTAATGAACCAGAAAAAGAAAAGGGACTGATATGACAGTGAACCTAAAACTGTGGATCACAGTAAATTTAGACTGCCTAAAAAATTATTAAATCTTGCTCTTCATCCTTTTAAACTACAAATTCTAACAAAGCATCCGTACCCTAAGACAGCAATTAATATTTTTGAAACAAACCTAGCAATCATAGTCAAAGGACGCTGGTTTAATCCAGTTTTAGCTATTTAGAGAAATATTTTATTGAGTTTACAAATAAGAACCTACAAAATTCCTTTTCCATAGCATAAATCATCCAAGCTAAGCATGTCATCATGGCTATAATTTACATGATGTAACATGACAGGTAAGATGTACTGTGGTAATTTGTGAGTGCTTTCAGTATTATTGTAGTATCAAAAATTTATATGGTTCAGTTATTAAGGCAAATTGTTTCATTCATACAGAGATGTCTGACAGTAAACCACAAAGGACCTCCAAATTACATTGAAAAAAAGTCTTCCGTGTTCAAATAATTTGCACACATACTTACTTTTGTTTTATTCCCTGAATAGAAATAGAAGGAAATTCTACTGGGCAGTGTGGTGGTTAGAATACAGGAGAAGTTTACTATGCATTGAGCTAATTAAAAAAATAAAATGCCTTCCTTTGTCCTGATTGAATGGGTTTGGCTATTTTTAAGAATCTGTAGCCATGAACAGGATGCCCAAATTCTTTGGAAATGATGCTATGTAATCTTCACATGCTCACTTACCTTCTGTCATGTTGATTTCTAGCCAAGAGGAAAAAATAAGCAGATAAGCCTGAAGGGACTATAATAGAAAAAGTGCCCAAAACCACAAGTATAAGACTTTCAAATACACTTCACCATACTCAGCTGCTAAGCATTCCACAAGTTCAGGGCACAACTCAGCCTTCAATACCATAGGCTGGCAGAACATTAGCATTTTTCAAGAGCATATTAAATATAATAATAGAAAGTCTAAGGCTTGCACACCTGACAGGCTAGCAACTAAATCAGGCAGAGAGCGCTTCAAAGATTTTATAAAGTAATATCTGACGGTAAGCTTTAGAGCTCATGCATATACATTCACATATATGTAAACCTGAACACGTGCAGCCTGGAATAAAGATGTGCACTCCAAACGACACAATGCTGAGTACAGCATTGTCTGAGTTCCAGGGCACAGCTCCCTGCATACAAGTTTCTTGCCAAGCATTAAAGTTTTGCAACACACCCCCACAACATCTGATACACAATTCGCATCCGTGAAAAGTAAGATAAAGAACAGTCTTTCAAATCTGTGGAAGAGGTGGGAAAAGAAGAGGACAACCTGAAACGTATATTCATATGCCAGCCAATTTATTCAAGAAATAACACTGCAAATTATCTGAGCTTCTCTAACACTTGACAGCAGAAACCCCAGTCAATCTCAGAATTGATGCACTTAGTTTATTCTGATTTGCCTGGTGCCTCACACTGATAATCTGCATGCCTAATTTAGTTCTTTTCAGCATGCAGTTTTGCTGGCCAAATATCTATCCAACTTAATCTTCCCTCAAATGGGAGAAAAAAAATTACTTAAATCTTTCCCAACAGCAATACATCAAATTAACGTACAGGCAAGGACCATCTGCACTTACTTTGTTACCCAAATAAGGACTGGGTGCACTCCAGTAATAAATCAGTGGCAGTACTTTTCTGGCAGCCACATTACCAATGCTAAGCTGCTGAGGTCCATCAAAGCTGTCCTGCTGAGGTGTAACTTTAATAAGACCAGACAAGTCAGTCAGATGCCAGCCACTCATGTCCTTTACCTATAACGACACAATAAAATACCCATTAGAACTAGAGTACTAATATCAGCCAGAACTCACCAACCTCTCTTTCTTCCAGCTTTTTTTGCAGTATAATTAGGTTTAAGATCTTGAGTGATATTAGTGAAGGATCTTAAGTAATGCAATCATATCAATAAGCAAATGAGTTTATTATTATGTATAACAGGCTCTGGGACATATGCATCTTTGAGATGTGCTAGGCTTAGCAGAAAAGGGTGCCATAAGTAATCTGTATGACAGTGGTTACCACAGATAAATACATGTTTCTAGTTGCTTCCTTCCCAACAAAAAAAGGGAGGATATTCTGACTCAAAATATTTGAACAAGGGTCATTACTGCTATCACCACACATCACAAATATTCCGTAAGTGATATCAGGCCCCAAAAGAAACAGAAGACTGAAGCCAGAGTTCAACCAACTTGAACAGATAGGCTAGGGACAGAAGTTACACATAAACCGGTTTCAGTGATCAGAAATTGGTTTAACCTGTAACAGAACAGACATTCAGTGCACATACACTAGTTTCAAAATGGCTGACACTGGTTTCAGATGCATCTGGTTGAATGTAGTATCACTTAACTGATTTGAGTCAAACTGGTTTATGAAACTTCTTTCCCAGACCCCTTCCTGATAAAAGTTAAATCAGAGTCCCCCAGCATCCCAGAATGCTTTCCAGTCCTGGGCTGGGCTCTGGTGTCTGCTCCAGAGAGCAGGGTTTGCCCCACCCCTCTGCTCCGTAGCTGGAGCAGTGAGGGCTAGCTGACAAGAGGGTGGAGGTCAAGCCCAGCTTGGGATGCAGGGGTTGAACACCCCTTCCCCCTCTCACACTTACTGCTGGCTACAACTGTGGACTAAGAATCCCAGAGGCACCTGGAAGCAGGAAAAGGAAATGATGAGAAGCCCATGCAGAGTCCTGCTGCTGTAATTCTGGACTGCAAATCCCAGAGACCTTGGAGGCAGCAGGAAGAGGAAGTAAACACATAGCCAGAGAGCTCAACCACCCCTGCCACTGCAGGCATGTGGCTGCATTTCCTGTATCAAAGACAAATGTCTGCTCACTTCTGTTTCAATTTAATCTGTGCTTCAGAGATTAACCTGCAAAGACTGAATCGATTCAGTCTCTGAGGTCTTTGACTGTCTGTACCTAGCCATATTGTCCATTCATAGATCATCTGGGTTATTGTTACGAAGCCCTGTGCCTTAAGCCTTATATCACTTCCCTGGACCAGGTAGAGAGAAGAAAAGAACGGCATAACCTAAAACATGGGCAGGAGCTCCCCAGAAGCTAAACTTCTGCAATCCTGTAACAGGAAACTAACCACTAGAGAAGAGCACATGTAAATATGTTCAAGTTGGGTTCCAGGGCCTGGATACCAGCAGGACTATAAAATGGCTCATCTGTGAGGTGCAAAAGATTTCTGGATGCTAACATGTAAATGAGCACACCAGGCATCCCATTTTACTCTCAGTGTTCCCATCTTCAATGCAGCCAAAACAAGTAGCTATTTAACCTGAAACTTGTTTTCCCAAGCTGGATCTGTAGACATGGCTGTATATTACAGTCCCTTTATACAGGAATTAGTCCCCAGGCTTTGAGAATGAGCTGAAAGGTAAAGGCAGTATTAAGAGTTGTTTTCTATGGTGAGCTTTTGCAAGTAGAAATGCTAGAAATTTTACTGCCTTTTAGCTCCCTTTTGCAATACAGGTGTTGTACCGAAGAATTTCAAAGGTATAAGAAGTGCTTTGTATGCCTCTATAAAAGATCCTATTTATATAAATCGTGTCTTCATGTGTGTAAATTTTGAATTAACCTAAGTATATTTAGACTAATGGATGTTTATTACAAACCTAGAGGAGAATAAAAAAGAAAAGGATCATATTAGAATTCTCCACATTTTCCGTACTGATTACCTGAATATGCCAAGACTGTTCATATATAGAGCTTCAACCCTGACTGATATATCTGTGTTTATTTCAGAAGCTTCTCCAAACATAAACAAGAAAAGCTCTTATATGTGACACTTACCTTTGGATAAGTGTTGAGAGCTACATGATAAGTAATGTCCAGGCTGGTCTGAACATAATTTGTATTTTGTACAACTTGCACTTTAAATGACTGCAGAAACATAATGTCACATTCATACCAAATATTTACAAATATTTGCTTACAGTGCTGTAGATCCAGTGAGAGTCTACACAGGTATTCATTTTCCCTGAACAGAAACACTCCTCACAGCCTCTGGGATTATTTTGCTGCAGGTTGAAGAAACCCGATTTGCAACGGTCACAGTTTTCTCCTTCAACGTGTTCCTGGAAATGCATGTTAGAATATTATTTCTGCTATCTCTTATTTTGATAATGCAATGGAAAAGCAAGGTATCTGTGAGAATATTCTTTTCATTTGTCAGTGTTAGAGCTAACTTCTCCATAAAGTCTGTGAGACCAAGTAAAAATGAATGGGGCCTCCTTGGTATAGAATTAAGCCATTAGTCTTGGTACCTTTTCCATTAACACACTTGTGGGTTTTTTTCCCCCCATGTAAAGAATACAATTATTGGAAGAATACAAATATTGGAATTATCTTATATTTGCACACCACCCTCCCCACCTTGACTGCAATGGGGAAAGCCATGGCAGGGGGGCAGTCAGTTGAGAAGGCAGTGGAAAGACAGATGATAGGGCAGTCAAGTGGCCTGACCTCTACTCCTTGCCACATCCTGCCACCTGTCTCCACCATCACTTTCCCCCCTGCTACCTGCCCCCCTTGCCTGCACACACTAGCATCTTTCCTAGCACCTGTTCCCCTGCCACTTGATTCCCCCCATGCCTGCACTCCCTGACATATGTCCCTTCCTCCAGTGCCTGCCACCCCACCTGTCCCCACTCCTGCTGCCTGTCCCCACCTCACAGCCTCTGCCACAACTCAGCCCCCACTGCCATGCCTCTCTGGGACAGGAGCAATCACATGCTCCATGGCTTGGAGCAGGGACAGAGTCCTGCCAGAGCTGAGAGTAAGCATCAGGGAGAGGTGGCAAAGCAGAGGCATTTGGGGAGTGGAAAGATGGCAGGGAGCAGAGGTGGTGGGGTGGGTGGGCAGCAGTTGCGGCTTTGACCTTGACCCCAAGTTGACTCTGACTCCGACCTCGCACAAGCTGCCCACCACCCTCTCACCCTGCCTTTTTACTTGTTAAAAAAGCAGAGGGAGGGGGACCTCATCTTGCATTCAAGTACATACACTAAATAAAATGTTATCATTAAGTGTGGTAAGCCTGCATCCAAACTTCTTTGATATAACTGTACTTGCAATTAGGAATATCAATCCTATACATTCAAGAGTTCCTAGCAACTTTCAAGATTTTTGCTCTGTAAATTATTTTAAGATAGCTCTGTATTTTAAGGGTCACCTTTTTAAACTCTGCCTCTGAAAGTGGCTTTTATGTGCCCAGGTTTTTGTGATCATAATTTTAGAAACCATTTTGAAAGCCTGGCCCTAACAGCTCAGTTAATCTGATACAACTTTCTTGCTGAGGTCACTGGTGTGGATAGGGTAGGAGGAAAAAATAAATGTGAGGGCAATGAAACAAATGTATTTGTTAAAATGAAAATGCCAGTAACAAAGCAGAACACAGCTGTACTCTGCAATTACAATTGTGTTCTTAGTGAGTAATCTACATCGTTCTTATCAGTTGGCAGTAAACTAATTAATAGAATCATAACATTTAAAGGAGGAAAAGGTGATCTAACCCATCCTTCTGCCAATATATGATTGTTTCTAACATAATATATTTTTAAATCAAACATTCAATCCAATTTTAAGTTACTTAAAGGATGGACTTTGACCACTTTCCTTCAAGAATATTCACAATGATTAGTGATAAAATCCTTATTTACATCCCTTTGCCAGTTTTATTTTTGTTCACTGGTCCTCATATGATAGAGTTGACCATCTAAAGCCCACTTTTGTTTCCTCTTTATTTTTCATTCCTTGTACCTTTACTTGCATTAAGTCTACCAAGCAAGAAAACTTCCATCACAAAGTTTCAGAAAGAACACTTTTAATTGCTATATATGAAAGAGAAAAAAGATATCTTCTTTCCAAAGCCTGTCAAAGACTCTATTATCATCACCTTTATCCAAAGATAGGTCTGGGTTTTTTTCACCACTTTATTTTTCCTGTGCAATATACCCAATATGATTATTTTTTCATGCCACTTTCCATAAGGCATATTGATTTTTATTTGAAGTTTACCAGAGGGGAGGAATTTATAGCTTCTGGTTTAACATCAGACATGTCTCAACCATCTGCAAAGCTTTGTCACCTGAGCATTTGAAAATGGAGGGAAGACATTTACATAGATTGTAAATTCTCTGGATTCAAGACAGTCTTTTTTGTTCAATATTTGTACAGTTCCTGCCACAATGGGCTACGACTTTGGCATTTTGGTAATACAAATAATTAGTATTAATAGCATTCAGTTGTGGATGGCATAGATGTGTTAAGGTTATCTTCATCCAAGCTTGTTTTTAAGTCAGAACATAATGAAATATGCCCCATGTCTCTGTCTTGAATTCTGATCCCCTGGACATGAGAGCCTGAAGAGATAGGAAGAGATTTTATTTCTGACAGAGAGCAGTTGAGTGTTATATATATGCCAAGTGGAGATAAGGTTAATACTCCAAGAAGATTTCAGTGCTATTCAACTGTCACACTGGTGCATGAGTATATGCAATATGAGATGGAGTAAAACTTTTTGTACCCTTCTGCTTGTAAGAACTTAATAGAAATATTTTTGCACTGGTACTTGGGTCAGTTTCCTTTGTTAAACATGGGACTGAAACTCTCACAAACAAAATGCTGAAAAGTAATTCCTAGGTAAGTGCAGGATCTTCATGCATATCACTGGTATATGTTTTTTTTAAAGAGTAAAAAAAAATAGGTTCATTTTGTTTTACAATACCGCCTGACTTTAAAATCTATATTAATAGATGGCTTTCTGAAAGTGTACACACAAAAAGAAAACCATTCCTCATTTCTCTGCAGGAATTAAGAAATTCAGCCTAGAACAAAGTTTCCAGAGTTATATTTTAACAGCTTTTGACAGAAATACCTTAGAGATTTTCAAATGAAGTATCCAAAATGAAAGAGACTATCTTTTGTCCAATCTCAGCAGTAGAGTAACCATACACTCTCCATAACAATGCATAATACAGGAGATTTTAAATACTTTTTTTGTTTTACTGTATTAACAGTTCAGCGTTTGCTCTTTTGGAGACATATTAGAAAATATTTTTAGAGTGTACAGTGCACTTCAAGTGCTTTTTAATGTACAGTTCTTGGGCAGAGGAGGGTGGGTGTCTGAAATAAATGATTCACAGGTTTCTGAATATTTCTTAAGTAACTTGTCTTTTGCAGGTTTCTATAAGCCTTGTGTGAATGACAGCTGACTCTGAAATACTTATTTTGATTATAGTGCCTTGGTGCCATGACACCCCTGCACCCAATCAAAACTGAAATTTCATAATCAGACCCAGACAAGGCATGAATTTATCCTAGGAAGAGCCACAAAGCTATCACCACAAACAGTTACAACAGCGGAACAACATTGTAACAGTGATACAGGACAATAGGCTTTAACTTTATAATAGAAATGCAGATCCCCCACAGCTGAAGAGTTTGACATTCATACCTTGCAGATGCAGAGGCCTACACAAGGATCTTCATTTAAGCTGCCTTTCACAGAGCAGCTGCAGGGTGTGCAGTTAGGATACCCCTTGAAACCCAAGTCACATTGATTGCAGCTCTTGCCTGAATGGCCAGGCTTGCAGTGGCAGAATCCTGGAAGCAAGGCTACAAGAAAAACACAAAGTTAACTTATTTGGTATTATTTTCATATATTAGTTATTATTTGAGTTGCAGTCACCAAGGACAAATGTGTAGAAAGGCCTTGCTCTAGAAAAGTGCCTGCAAAACTGGGGGACCAGCATTTGCCTCCCTCATTCCCATCTTTACTTCAAAGCAACACTGCTGAAATCAGTAGAACTTTTCCACAAGTAAGTAGGTGTAAATGTAGCAGCACTGAGGCTGCATTTAACACACAGGGCCTTAGCAAGCCTTATTATTTAACTATAATTGATACTTAGTTTTTTATAAAAATAGGATGTTAACAAAGCAAATTATGAGAAGATTACTTCTGGCACCCCAAGCTAGACTGACTACATTTAAGTAGTGTTCCAACTGAAGGAAAACTCATCTAATTTTTAGTGCAGTGATCTGCTAGTCTTATGCGGGCGCATCTACATGAGACGTGTACTGCAGAGCAGACTAATTAACTCTGCAGTACACATCTCATCTACACATGCATATTAGGGCATAAGAAACTAATAAACTCTGGGGCAGGGCAGTACTGCTAGTACTTGTAATACAAGTACTACCCTGCTTCAAAGTTTTTTTGTGTGCAGCAGCACATGTGCAGATGCTGACTGGGGCACAAGTCAGGTTCAGTTCCAGGGCTGCCTGCTGGCTAGCCCCACACTGAAGCACTCTCGTGCCCCAGCCAACCTCTCCACAGGAAAACTGAACCTGGTCAGTATAGCCCAGGGCTGGCAGACTGAGCTCCTCAGACCCCCTACTAGCCAATGCTGTTCCAACAGGGCTCCACATGCTGCACATGAATAAATGCCAGAGCTAATTGCTCTAGAATTATTTGCTCCTGGGCACACATTCAAACCATGCACCCAAGAGCAAAAAAACTCTGGAGCAATAAGCTCTGGAGTTTATTCATGTACACTGATTACATGCGTAGGTACACCCCGTGTCATTGCTGTTACTTACTTGTGTGATCATAGACAGTCACTTAACTGTTAAGTACCTTAAGATTACCCAAAGTATACCCTTTTGTCTATGCTAAATTTTGTAGTCAGAGCAGTTTGAAAAAAAGATTCTGACTCTGATCCTTGCCTGCGTCTAGTGTGTATATATATTTATTTATTTATATTAGACACAGGTAAGGATCAGAGCCAGAATCTTTTTAAATAAATAAAAGACACACACACACACACACACACACACACACACACACACTAGTTTTATAAAGTGTTTTTGATTCAAACATAAAGGACATATAATGTATGTAAGCATGATAAGCATTAATCACCTACCCTTCAGTGAATTACCAAAAAAATTGACAAATTATTGTTATTGCAATATAAGGTATTTGTTTTTTTAATTGGAATTATATACAAATATAAAAATAACAGAATGTTGCTTGTTTTCCCTCACAGTAATGTGAGGAATGTGAATTCTGGTTTGTTTGGAATTATAATTCTCTATTCTTATCAATCCAATCCTCATTACAACTCGGAATGCAATTTCCTATAATCTCATTTTGTAGCAAAAGCCAACTGTTAATTTTATCCACATACAAAGTATTCATGTCCCAGTCCATAGTCAGGTTTTAATTGCTACTCATCCAATGATCCTCAATCTGAGCACACACAGAGAGTCTGACCACCTCAGTCAGAATCACTCATTGCTGCTCTATACACCCAATCATCATCGTCATCATCATCTTTTTCTTCTTTCCATTTACATTTAAGGATTATAATCCTCTTTATTGTCTGGTTTGCCACCTGCTTCAAAAGATTTCCATTTTACACCAACTGAACAATTTTTTTTTCCTTAAATAACCAGCCAGCTCCTTTTGAATGCATTTTAATGTACCTAATGTGTTTTCATTCTGATTTGCAAGTATATAGAGAAATTCCTTTGGCAATGATCATGTTTCTCAGGCTTCTCTTCAAAGCAGAAACAGACTTATTCTAGTTTACAAATATTCAAATAGATTGTCCCTTCTCTCTTCCCCCCAGTTGCTTTCTAGGATGAGACTCTTTGGTCTTTACTGAAATGTAGATTCTGTTAAAATAGTTAATTATTAGACTAAATGCACAGAATTTTTTCTACTTCGTTTAAAATTAGGTAGGCACAAATTTTGCTTTGGTACTAAAGGTTTCAAGGGGCTAGTGAACACATTTTTCAAGACAGAAATAACGGGGAAAGATTCTTATCTACTTTACAGATATTCTTAAACTGCCAAACATACCCACATGCCTGGTCGATCCCTACTCTCCACTGCCTCCTACCCACAAACATTTTTCCATTGAAAAAGAAGATTTATTTTCCTGGAATTATCATCACTGCTATTTACTTAATTACCACATCCAGAGGCTGCAGACACAAGAAGGGTTCAACCATGCCACAAGCTACAAAGACAAAGTAAAAGGTAGAATGTATTGTCCTGCAAAGGACAACCTAATTTAAAAGCAACAAATAAATGGAAGAATCAGGGAAGCAAGGATAAGGATACTTCAATAGGAAATGGTGTTGCATAGCATACGTCTGTAAAACTAGATGGTTTTGAATTTGCTAATTAAAGTTAGGTATAAGCAAATCAAAATAATTCCCATACCAGTCAGCTACTATCAAATGTCCATTTCCTGTAGTTCTGATAGAAGAAGGTCTTGAAGAGGGGTTTTCAAGGAGTGTACAAAACAGTAGCTTTATAGACCGTTTTAGATCTAAGGCATGAACTACACCAGGAATGGCATTTCATATGTGAAAGATGGTATAGACTAAAGCAGTGATGTTCAACCTTTTGTACCCATGGGCCAGATGAATAGCATGGGGCCAGTCCAGTCAGTCCCCATGTCACTCCTGGGGGCCAGGATCAGGGACCAGGGCCCCATCCCCCTTCTATCTGTCCCCACACACTGGGATAGGGCTCCAGGGCCTCATGTGTTGGGTCAGAACCTGCAGTGTTGGGTGCACCCTGTGCACTCATGGCCATGCTCTGTGCACCCACCCAACATGACACAGCCCATGGGGATTGCCATGGATTGGATGATAGTGCTGGGGCTGGATTTGGCTCAGGCCAAGGTTGAGCACCCCTAGACTAAATGCAGGAAGTATTTGTTGGACACATGGAGAAATGGGCAATGGAGTGTGGCACCACTATCAGAATAGAGAGGGTAAAGGCAACATAACAAGATGCAAGTATGGGTAAGAAGAAGGGGTCTTAACAGTAAGGAAAAGGAGCCTTTATTTTATGTGGTAGGGAAGGGAGACATAGCATAAAGACTCACTTTATCCCTAAGATTATCATAGAGAGGACAGGAAGATGGCTGTAGTCATCAGCAAACCCTTGATTTGAGGTTTATCTTTACCACAGGTCACTGATGGTTCTTGAGATGAATTAATAGTTCAATCCTTGAGCCACAGATCCATCTGCAGAAGTTGCAGGCCTTTCTTCAGGGGAGAACAGACTGCAAGTTAAGATTCTTCTCCTTTTCCTTCCTCTGCTCTCTCTTCTCTGCTTCCAGGTCAAGACACTTTAACTCAAATTGGGCTGCCACTTGGTCGAGGTTGCAGCACCATTGGGGTCAGTTGGCAGCCAGCTCCTCCCAACTCTTGATGGTAGCACTTGTTTTTTTGAGGTATGCTTTCCATGTGTACTTTTAGCATTTTATCTAGCCATGATAAGGTCTCAAGCCATTACTAAACTGGGAGTAGAGTGCTTGTTTTGGGAGTTGAGAGTCAGGTATCTACACACAATGTCTGGTTCAGTGAAGTTGGAACTTGAGAATCACCAGCTCCATGCTGGCAATTTTAGCTTCAGCAAGGATGCTGGTGTTTGCGTGGTAAACATTCCCATTTGATGTAGAGGATTTTCTTAAGGCATTGTTTGTGATACCTTTCCAGGGTCTTGTGATGGACAACAGTAGGTCACCCACATTTCACATCCAGAGAGATTTATTTTCCTGGAATTATCATCACTGCTGTTTACCTAATTACCACATCCAGAGGCTGCAAATACAAGAAGGGTTCAACCATGCCACATGCTACAAAGACAAAGCAAAAGGTAGAAAATGGGGATGATGGCTACATTGTAGACCTGGATCTTGGTGTCTTTTTGGAGATCATGATAAAGGCACACCAAAGCAGTTTCCCAAAGGAGACTACTGAGGTACAGGAAGTGCTTGTCTACCTCCAGGGTATTTTCCTGATGGTAATTTGGGAAGGGGTAAATTGGGGTTCACATTCATGCTCAATGTAGACTGATAAATCAATTGAGTTTGATGCTAGAAATAGGCCCACAGTTCACTAGGCTTCTCTGAAAAGATGTGGTCTGGAGGTTTTCCTCAGTGGATGCATCTACACGAGTAGTCTCTACATGAGACATTTAATGCCCATTGGACTAATTCTACTGCACATTAGCATGGCTGACAAAAACACTGCTAAGGTGCAGTAGATTAGTCCAATGAGTATTAAGCATCACACCAAAAGCATTCATCTGCGTTAATGAGCAGTAGTGCTTATTACAGCACATTAAATTAGTACCTGTTATTACAGGTACTGAGCTTAATGCACCATAATTATGGCACAATAATGAATATGTAAACATGCCCAGTGTGTGCAAGGATGGCACAGTCAGCAGCATGTTGAAGGTCAAGGATGGTTGTTTTGAACACTTCAATCTTTGAACAAAAACAAACCAGACTGATAAGCCCTCCATTTATTTGGTATTCAATATCAACTCCAGAAGGAAGATGGTCCTTAATGAGCACCAAGATGACTCAGAAAAATGGAGAACAGAGTTGAGGCAATAATGCATCTTTGCTTGACTACAGTTCAGATGGCAAATGGATCTGTCTCTGATCTGCTACATATAATGGTCAATCATCTGGTCATGGAGAAGTCTCAGGATCTTGATATACTTTTCAGGGTATCCAAATCTGGCCAGTACTTTACTAAGGCTTTTGATTCTATCATGAAGCCTCGTGGAATAAGGTCAA